TATAAGTGCGATAGGACATTATTTGTTTATATGTTTTTATGTTATGTTTTTCATATAAAATATCATAAATGATGGTTCTTATAGGATCTTGGATAAGGTGACTTCTGCACCCGAAAAACGCCATTTTCAGGAGCTTGACCTTGCAGATTTGTTAACCAGAAGTGATTTGAATTGCTTGGTTTTGGTATCGCTCAATTGCACATCTTTTGTAAACAATCTGGTATACAACTTGTTCATATTGTTTTGAGACAGAGCTCTCGTGTGAACAAATTTGCTTGCTACTCATTCACGAAGGCGTGTAAGAGAACATGCTAGTGAAGCGGAGCACAAGATTAATGGGGCTTAGAGCGAGCTCCATCCCAGAGCATGTACAGACAAGTTGTATGCCACAATGTTCGCAAGAAGATGCGCAGATGAGTGATAGCGAGATCGTGCAATTTCATAGCAAAAATTGTATTAAAAAACCAAAACGGCATGACTTAGCAATTTGCTGCATATAAGGTTCGACTTCATGTTGTATAACCGACCGCAAACGTCATAAAAGAGATGATCTAGGAGATTTTAGGAGGTTTTACCTTAACCTCCTTACTCTTTCGACATTGGTCCGTCAGATTACTACTTGAAATTACCAAATTGAAGCTACAAAATAGGAATTTCAAAAAGTGGTGTTTCGTACATTGTAAATGTACAATGGTCAACGTCTTCGAATTCTTATAAAAGCCATCACATAGGACATTTTTTAGGTATAAGTACATATAAACTTGTAACGCTTTTCAACGCAAATCGAAGTAAAAAGGAAAGAATTCTCATAGTTTCGTTCCTACTATTATTACAGCAAAAAGAAAAAGGCGGGATCATATTTGCACACCTAAAATCACAAATAATTATTCTCTCAGTGCCCTGAGAAAAAGGTTTAAGCCTTTGCAAGGCTTCGTACGTCAGTGACTTACGTACTTTCGGCGGCTCTCCGGGTTCTTAAAAGCTACACGCCCTACCAGTCACCCCTACTAATTTAAAGACGATGAGACACAGCAATATTAGAACCAGACAACGTTGAGTGCTGTCTGAACTATTTTTCATTCGATGGCTAGCTACTGTTATCAATTATATAGAAATAGCCTTTCAATCACTGTTTTTAGAAATCCTTGTTATAAAACCTCGATTTATTCTGAGAGACCATTTTAAGCATTTCCGATGTTTGGTATATTAGTAATTTACGTACTGTGGGAGGTGTGGCTCTGATGAGGCAGGCGAGTTCGTCGAAACGTGCGTAAGCAACCGACATAACAAATCTCGAGAAGTTTTGAAACAGTCTCTCAGAATATATCAAAATTTCATAAGGGGGTGTCAAAGACATTCAGTTGAAAAGAAGTCTTTCAACACTTTCGGAATTTAATGTCCATCTAATGCAAAAACCAGTTTAAATGTGTACTTATTGCATGAAGCGCGCCGTTTCACTAATTGTATGGGAAAAGTCACCAATGCGCTTTCACACGCTATGAAAATTGAACTTCATTCAAACTAGGAACTAAGCCTCAGATGTGGAGCCATATTACTTGCTATGTTCAGACACTCTCCCGTCACATTTGCTCTTATCCTTTTAAACTTTTCCAAAAAGCTGCGGAGGTTTCTTACGTCGCTATTTTAGCCGTTGCTTCAGAAATCTGACTACCACCTCAATGTCGTCAGAAATATGCTTTTCCATCCTATGCGCACTTAATTGAGTACATTTCTATTTTCCGACCCGTTCGACTTACGGAACAGTTACATGTTGACAACGGGACAACGATTAGCATCAAGCCTTGTTATTGCCTTCAGTTTGAGGTAGAAGCCACAACTATCAATCATATTCCACAACTACACTATCGTGTATAGATGACTGTTTTGCTATTTGCTCTCGACCGTAGGATAGAGAAATCCTCAGCTGTTAAACGATCAGTGTATTTTCACAGATTTTTTGGAGCCTTTTTCGATGTTTAGCATTGCATGTTAGCGGTATAAGTACTTTCCTAACAGTTCCATCCGTCTCATGAGTGCTACACGTCCCTTATTGACAACAGCAAAGTAACATGCATAGGTTTGCATTAAATAAATCATCACGTGTTACACAGTCTTGCTTTCAATCGTTGTTTCTGCGGATTTTATTATATTCAGATATCGCTTCCATTCGACTGATTTGAAAAGCCTCATCATTTTAGGTTTGTAAAAAAAATCAGTCGAAAGAAGGCAATGCTGAATAAGTAGGCACACTGTATTATGTTTACATGTGAAAAATCGAAAGACAATTCTGCTCCATTTTCAAACGTGCGATTACATCTTTCTGAAAGTGGCTATTCTACAAAACGATATAGAAAGTCAAGTATTAAACATATTTCAATACAGTGCCTTCTTCCCATTCCTCACAGGCGAAAATAGCACTTGTCCGAAACATGTGCCGAAAAAGTGCTGTATGGGAAGAGAGAAAGGATTTACTACACTTGGCACAACATAGTCATCTCGAATGACACCGAAAAGGTAGTCACTAACGCTGAGTCTAAGAGTAGAGAAGGCCCTTCACTGAAAGCAATGGTACGCCAAACCAAATGAGGACTAAGCAAGTGTCATTGTCAAAAAATGTCTAAAAGCGGTGGTTCGAAAAGTTCAGCACATTTCGTAGCTGCTTAATTCTGAACCGCATGTAAGGACCGCCTATGAAAAAATTGCGTGATATGTTTCAGCTGTAGGGACGGAGATAAATATGTCTAGTTTCTTGTGAGAAATGAGGTGATAATACATAGAAAAACAGCTAGACCACCTTGAACTTTGAAAAAGAATCACCTAGTCCCAAAGTCGAATGGTTGGGCAACTGCTCCACTAGGTGCACATAGGACAGAATGGGACAACTTTTCAATTAATTTTCTCATTAGATATTCGACAGAAAATATTAGATGAACAGCTAGTTATGGTGTTATATAGGATGTCTAAGCTCTGTGGAGGACGAAGTGGCCAAACGTCATCCTTAGTTTTTGAAGAAGATATACGAACCTCGCACAAGCTGTTGAAGATAGAGGTTGTGATAAAGCTTCTATTTTTCGGGTTTAGTGGAAGCCGGTCTCTTGAATTATTATAAATTTTGGCCACGTAAACATATCTCGGATACCGAAGTTTGTAATCTCGTTAACGTGTTGCTTTACGAGTATTTGATAATCATTAGACGTTTTGGCTACGTAAGGATTTTATAGATTTCCAGATGATACTATACCATCGGATGTTACTACTCTACGCAATATTAACTGTATTAACAGGACCACTCTATATCTCCATTATTGTAGTCACAATAAAGGATTGGAAGCATGATGATCATCATAAAACAATTAATGCGCTCATGATATCTCAGGCAAGTAAATCTGAGGTAGTGACCTAAAGAAGTTAAGAATATTTCAGATCAGAAAAGGCACCGTGAGTACTCTTTCAAGGTAACCAAATATATATATATATATATATATATATATATGTATGAACTAAGCATTAGACTAGCCGTTTGTAAACTGATAACAAGATAAAATGGTTGAGCTTGCTGTTTTTCATAATGGCATTTATACAGCGCTAAACAGTCGCGTTTTTCATTCTTGCGCACCCCTTAGTAGCCGCAGTCTCCTTCGGTTCAGGCGATCCTCTGAGGATATATGCCCTAGATAAAGGAACCGACAACGGACAGTATATCACCGCAAGTCAGGTGACGAGATTCATCGACTTATAGTGATTACAGTCGAGTGCTTGCGGCTTGTAGAATGAATCATACTCTACCGTCAACCGTTTGAGCACCTTACCATGTTATCATGGGCACCGCCGCATGCGTGAAGCCTAACTCCACCTGCTTCTCCACGTCCTCAACACTGTACGGCAATCAACAAGACGCCCTATGGAATGCCACAACCAGGCTGTCCTTGAGATTGCAAGGCGACATGCTCAATTAGTATTCCACGTCATTCAGGAAGAAAACAAAATGAATCGAACGCTAGAAGTACTGGAATCCTCACAATAAAAATTTGTGATGACGGGTCGTGAAAATAAATAAATATGAATATACCATGTCATCAAGCTATCATTCTTTTGTCCAAGGTCTTATAAACAGCCAAGAGTAGGGTTTGATACATTCTAATAAATAGTCACTCAACCATGGTTACTGCAACTTGGGGATTTCGTCATGTGATTGCGATCTACTGTTCGGCGTCAATTTCTCTATATAGAGGCATGTTTCCAGGGGATCGGCTGAATCGAGGGATACTGCGCTACTGAGCAGTCCGGAAGGACGAAATAGGCGCCTGTTTAGCACTGTGTAAGCAGCCTTATCAGACCTCACAGTAGGCACAATCATGTCGTGATGTTATCAGATATCATTAGTTTGAGCAAGGTCTAAATAAACGGTTTAGAGCAAGGTAGCATATTACATTACTTTGATATAGTCTGTGAGAATATTTGCAGCCTTTTTGAGGTTGGTACATCAGAACCAAACGGCCGATTTAGCGGTGTCGTCCTCTTCATCAGTGGTTCGTGTTCAATCTCGATCCCTATTCAGTAGCAATAATAGCGAGACGTTATGGTGATAGCACGTGATATTGTGTTATCATCATCGACTTAAAAAGTGGTTATAACACAATATCAGCTGCTATCACCGTAACATCTCACCATCCCTGCTGCTAGTTGATATTGTGTGCGCGTGGGCCACTGATGAAGTGCGCAACACTGTCGAAACATTCGTATGACTCTGTCATGTAAACCTTGAAAGGGCTCTGAACATTTTTACGGACTCTTTTGAAGGTTTGTAACGAAGTTCAATAACAAATACAGTCGCACACACGATCTTGAACAAATTGATGACTTAAATTGCTAAATTGAACTAAAAAATTAATAGTGATCTTCAGACTACTGCTTTTCAAGCACTTCTTGGATCTGCATATCTCGTTTGATGTAAAGATTAGTAGTATACCCAATAGTGTAGAGTGCTGTGCAAAAACGTTTGCGTCCGCCAGGAATCGAACCAAGATTTCACTCTTTCCGGGAGAGCATGCTAGCCGTTGCACCACCGACGCTCATTTTGCTCAGCACTCTTTCTACTCTACAATGCGTTATCTGTCAACAACCAACCGTCTACGGTCTGGCGGGGTAGTCGTCATCGACATTGGACCCACTTGTTTATAGTCTACTAATTCATAGTCTATACTTTCGGCTTTCTACTAAGCCTCACCAGTGCACGGTGCCTTTCGGTTCAACCAAGCCCTTGCAACTAATGATATCGCCGCCAAACATGTTACCTTGCACGCCAAGAGAAAGAACCACTTGTCTTTGCAATAAAAATAAAAGAAAGCCTAACTTGACTGTAAACCAGTTCAAGTTTCATATTGACGTTTTATCTTTGTTTCCAGGGAGTGGCCGATCTTTTCGCAAGCATCAATTATATGTTTTTCGTCGCCTTTCGAAAAATGCATTTCCTCGACGATTTTTTTTATCGTTATCAAACCTACTACCTTGGAACGTGGTGCTTTACTCAGTACTATACAATGAACATATTGCGGACCCTTGGAATTCTTTTCATTACCCTTCAGCGATATGTTACAATATGTCTCAAGGGATCGACCATCGAAGATGTAAGTGAAATAGGATATGAATAATTTTGAAAAGAACATAATAAATTGATCTCAAAATCGACCTTCAACTCTGCATGACCAATAACATTGCTTTTCTTTGTGAGGAAAAACGAGTTCGTTATCACACCATTAACTTGCGACATCTGAATTTTGGAGGTTTTAACTCCATTAAACCATCGAAAGATCAAGCAACACAAATAACTTAACCAATTACTCCTTAGGGCCAACAGAGAAGCAACTCAACTATACCTAGATCTTGGCTTTGCGTTAGATGAAAAAAAGAGACTTTGCAGGCTCTGCAGACCAAATATTCTGCCGACAGCTTTTCTAGGTGAACCGCATAATTGAAACTCTCGTTTCCTCATCAAGAAGAACGGAGACTATAACAAGTATCAAAGAATCTCTCAAAGTTTCACTGCCACATCGGGAACAATCGTTGTTTTCAAATACCGAAAACTTGTCTATGACGGCGTTCTTTCCCCATAAATCCTGTTAGACTAAGATGAGGTTGATCACTTACACTGAGAAAGACAGCTAACCATTGATCAACTTCTTGAATCACATCTGTACAAGCTGTACATTTTCTTATGAATTTAAAAATCATAACGGGAAGGGGAAGGTACATGTTTTTTTCGAGTATATAGCTGATTTGTTCGAAGCACTGATGAGAGAATGTTAAAACACTACAAATACTAATGAGTACGTGAGAAGGGTACAAAGAAATTGTGAATTTTTAAAACATTTTGACTAGAGAAGGGCAAATTGTATTGAATCCCATTGACGATGTCACGCTGTGTGAACACCAAGTCAATGTGAAAAAGTCTTCTTTATTGTTATCATTTATACATAATAAAAACTTCTTTGAGTGCCGAAATCCACTATTTAAGTAAAGTAATGTTTGTTTCTCTTCTTTAGCCATGCTGTTCATGTAGCACACCCCCTTTAAAGCAATAGTTTTCTGCAAAAAGAAATCGCCCAGAGGTTTTCTTTGCAATATTACAAGTATATAGAACAAGGTTCTTAATATTGAGTATAAACTGGACATGTTAACGGCAGAATAATGTAATGGAAAAATTCACCAAACCAGTGTAAAGGTATGACATCAATCTGCACTAAGTAGCTATAAATGTGTTAACAGGGCATCAGGTGTCGTCAGAGTTTTGTTTCATTTCGCTACAATGAACTAAATAATATTGACCATTATGCTTAATATTATGGCGTGAAATTTTATCAAGCTTAGATTTAAACGTTCTTAATGGAAACTGTAGTAGAGTACCATTCTTCATTATGAAGTTAAAAACTACTTTTCCCACATCGGACTAAATTGAAAGTGAGAAACATATCCTCCTACTAATTTCGAACTAATTTTATTAAAACTATCTATCCTTTTACATTTAGCAAAAGTCCTTTGACAAATCATTCAGATTAATTGGACCTAATTATTTTTTACGCCAATATCCGGAGCTTCATTTGCGGTTACCAATTAGGTTTCTGTTAAAGAGAAAAGTAGCATCGATCAGAGTCGAATTTAGAATAATTACGACTTTCCAGTGGAGGATCTATTAAGCATTTGGCTTTAGGAGAAAGAATGCGTTGCCTATGATTGAAGATTGTCCAGCCTACAATCAGATTCACTGACCTAAAATGCATGACTTAGAACAAAAGCTGTTCATTTCATTAGGTCAGCGCAAAAATGGTCTGACCGAGAAGTTTACGACTCCTTATTTTGATTTCTTTTCAAAATTTGTGATATATATAATATATATATATATATGGCGAGCGGAACGTCCGAAGCAGTATCAAAAATAATCTGAAGCTGCACGCTATAAGGTCTTTCGTGTCAACGTTTCAGACAAAAGGGTGAAAGATTAACGGTTTTGAAGGCTCGCGAAGTGATTTGTTTGATAGCTGGTGCGCGTCTGTCGAAGGTGCTTCTTACTGATGAGAAAGATATTCACGATCGGACCACTCCACAAGCGCCAGAACCGAAGTCAACTCCTTAGAATGGGTTAGCAGAAGTCCGCTAAAAAATTCAAAGGGCCGCAGTCATGTTCCGCTCTCTGTGATGGTCTAGGCCGACACTTGTGCCACCGGCAGGGCGCCGTTGGTCCTCATAAACAGAAATGCCAAAATCAGCGTTGCCAGCTATGGGCAGCAAATTCTACGGGGTATACTGGAGCCTCGGAATATCAACACTTTGGTGCCTAGGGATTTACGCTTCAGCAGAACTGGGGCCCTGCGCACTCGGTCCGCTCAACGATTGCCATCCGTCGAGAGCAGTTTCCAAGCTTCTAGAGGAAGGACATTTGGCCGTCAAATTCGCCGGTTTTTAACTCAATGAATTACTCCGTGTGGTCCATACAGTAGGAAAAAGTCTCGGCTACTCGTCAAGCTGGCGTAGACGCGCTTAGAACGACTTTGACACGCGATTGGGATGAAAGTATGGTAGAAACGTGTGCGAGCATCGTTGAAAGTTTTCCCAAGCGATTTCGTAAATGTGTGGAGGCCAAAGTGGGCAATCTTAAGAGCTCGCTGTAAAGTTTTTTGTTGATTCTTATAACTGTTGGTCTTATGAAAGTGATTATTCCTTCAACTTAATGAATAATGAAATCAATTGTTTAAGTAGTATTTTTATTGCTAAATATCTGAAAAAAACTTTCTGTGTATCCTGCTTAAAAGTTTCATTTCTTGCTATTACATTCCTTATTAGACGATATTCTGACTTGTCCATTCAACAAGATCGAAAACTTTGATGCCAACCAGCTAAGATGATTGAATGTATTTGGCCAAAATGAGACGATATTGCCTATTATGAATATTCTTAACACTTTTGTAAAGCTGACTAATTTCCGAGGTGCGCCATGCGACATCGCCCAATTTTTACTCGTTAAGCCTCTATGGAAGTCACAGCGGGTGCGCTATCTCCCAGTTTGAAGGCTGCACCCTGTTTCGCTGTACAATTCAAACTTCCACCACGTTTTGAGAGGATTTCTGCGCTTATCTTGTCACACGCTCCATGTTCCTCTGTACACTTTCTCACATTTTCGGTTCGCATCCAACTTTCTGTGAATAAATTACACTCACCCACTGTGATATCCTCTCATTTCAAGTGATACTCTCAGAGCTACCATAACATTTAGAAGTGAGGAAATAAGCTACCATAACATTTAGAAGTGAGGAAATAGCGCATTGTTTGCCAAAAATGATTCTACACACTGCATGAAATGCAAATCATGGAGGAGAGGATATTTCTATGTCCTTCCATGCATCCACACCTTCTAGGTCGCACCCTCTCATCTACAGTGATAATCGTCCATAGAAGGAGATTTAAGTTAGAATTTATTGATAATGTCTCGCCTCATGGAAGATGTCCGTTAGAGCATCTGCTTCAGCTACTGATTAATCAGATGGAGTTAAGAAAAAATTTTCGGTACTTGAAGATCAACCTCCGGAGAGATAATAACCTTCCCAAGAGGTCGTACCGGTCAATGTAGTCTATCTTAAAGGACCTCGATAGACCTTATATTGTCGCAAGTGTAGTAGTGGTACCGAGGAAGCAAATAGCATAATGGCAGTGAAACTGCCGACTGTATTGACCGACCAACCCAACCGGAACTTAATTGACCACTCACCTAACCTTTCGCCTCTTCGAGGCCGGCAATTAAGTACCTGATCTGTATGCAACTTGACCACTTCCCTAATCCACTTTTGAGCTTCCTAACCCTACGATCTCAAAATTCCACGAGAAATAGGCTCGAACAGCAACGAGCAAGATTCTTTACGTAGAAGAAAAATCATCAAGGGTCAGACGGTCACATGCAAGAAGGTTTGAAGACTTTTGCAGATGATGGATGTAAGAAAACCAATCAAGTGTGAATTATGCGGGGAAGTACGTGAAACATATTTTCTCGATCTACGTAATAATTACTAAGCTAAGCAAGTGGTATTGGGCACAAATTTATCTTCGGATATGCAGTAGAGAAGTTGGTGATAGTGAATAACGATTTCTTTGAACATCCAACTGGTCGATTTATCTGTAGTTAAAAATATTTTTTCCTTGGGCATCCGACTGCAAACTTTTCGCCTGTGAATTCATATTTAACAACGTGCTTCTTAAACTTAAAGTTAGCTGGCTAGGAAGATGAATTCGTGTATTGAAAGCTCCTTGTGAGACTAGACCTGCAGTTTTTTATTATTAAAACACTTCAATTATCCTTCTATTGACACTTGACAGACTTTTGACACTTTATCGATCAGTCTTCAAAGTGTTTTCTCACTGCGCGGATCTCAATACCTTAAACATTTAACTCGTTTTTTCGTCCTCTTTTTGAACGTCGTAAAACACTGGTTGAGCGAATCTTCTTGCAATCTCGAGGGTAGCCTGGCTGTGGCGCTCCATAGGGCGTTGATGTTGACTGGCGAAAAACGATGTAGGTGGAGCACGG